GCCCGTGACAATCTCTCCCCACAGCTCTGCCCCCGAGCCGCCGCTGCAGCCAGTCCCTCGCGGGCCGGGAGGGGACCGCTGGAGCGTGCATGATTGCTTAGGAAAGTACAAGGCCAGGCCTGTCTGCTGACCGTGGGAGACGCCAAAGCTGTGAGCAGCTTTGTTGGAAGCAGCAGTTATCGCATGGCTCTGGATTAGAGCTTCAGAAACCCCTCGGCTAAGTGCAGCCTGGGCAGCCTCTGCTGAGTCCCCACGCCCGGCCCTCTGCGGAGGGGACAGGGTTTGGAGAGGGAAGCGGGATACCCAGACCCACCTGCAGCTCTCACCTTACTGAACCTTTGCTCCAGCACTTCGTGTTCCCACTGAAGATCCTTCAGATCCTTCTGGGTGACTTTCAGACGGGCTTTTGTGTTCTGCAGGCGGGAAGGGACTGTTAAAGAGCACGGGTTTCTCTGGGAGATGTGGGGGACGCGTTCTGGCAAGGGAGGAGAGTGACCAGCAAAGAGATATGGGCGAGAAAAAACAGGCAGCACCCACACCAACTGCCTTCCCTCCCTGCAGCGGGAGCTCCTCTGGTTTCTCGCTGCCAGAGCCCCAGAGTCCCATCCGAGATCTTACAAACACCCAGCTAAGCTGAAAGGGACTCGAGGGACTTTGCCCAGGCACCTGGCCAGGGCAAGCCAAGCAGCAGAGGTCACTGCTGAGCCACTCCCGCCAGGAAAGAGCCAGGGCGACTTGGGAAAGGGCAGGGCTGGCCACTCACTGTCAGGGCCTCCTTGTCCTTGTCATAATGGGCCAGCTTCTTCTGCAGCTCAGAGACCTGCTCCTGGGCCTGCTGCAGGGGCTCCTTCAGCTGCTTGTTCTGGAGCAGCACGTCCGCCTTCTCCTTTTCCAAGTGATTCTCTTTCTGCTTCATCTCTTCTATCTGCTCCTGTTCTTGGGAACACAAACTCCTGGAGAGGCCATGCAGCGGGGGCTGCCCAGCTCCTCAGAGCTGCCCACACCGTTAGGACACCCTCCCACTGCCAGCCCAGCAAGACACGTCTCCCTGTGCTTAAGAGCTTTGCTCATGTAATGGTGTACAACCCTCAGGAGACCAGCAGCACCCACACCACCACCTGGGAGCTGGCCAGATCTGGGTGAAACCCTCACAGGACCGGTCCCTAGGTGGAAGAGTGACACTGCAGGCCAGGCAGGCTGCGGCGGGTGGGCTGGCAGTACCTTCAGCAAGCTGATGAGTGCCAGGTTTTTGAGGGTGATATCGTTGTAGTAGTTCTTGAGGTCACCAAAGGCCTTCTCGTGGTTCCTCATCAGCTCGCTGATCTGGCTGTTCTTCCTCTCCTCCACCTCATGGATCTCGGTCTTCCTCCGCAAGTCAAGCTCATCCCGCAGCACTTGCATCTTCTTGGTGTACTTGGCCTCAATCTCTGGGGGAGCGCAGAGGGGGCTGAGTGAGGGCCTCCTGGAGAGCCTGCGTAATGCACCCCAGCTCTGTTAGCAAGCGCCAGCCCAGCGCATGCGGCCACGGCATTACTTGAGGACAAGACGCTCATTAGCAGCGTCACCGCAGCTGCCACCAGCACGCAGAGCAGTGACGCTGGGACCATGGAGCACAGAGCCCAGAAATAGCATCCTTGGAAAGAGGGCATGGAAATGCTCCAAGTCAGCCCGTGAGAACCTGAAACGTCCCCTGAGGAGGACGCTGGAGCGAGGACTCTGCAAGGGCTCCTCCAGCCACCCCAGCCCGTGGCCTGGAGAAGCGCGGCCAGACAGCTGCACTCGGCAGTAGGGCCTGGCAGCAGCGACAGTGCCCTGCCTGCACCCCTCAGCCCGCGCTGCAGGCGCCCGGCCTTGTTCCCTTCGCATGATGCTGGGGGTCCAGCAGCCCCAGAGCACGGGGGAGCAAGAACTGGGGGAAAACCATCCCCCTTTCTGCTCAAGGCTCTGCTAGAGAGCCCGGCAGTGCAGCAGAGCTCGGAGGAGCCTTCCCCAGCACACTGACAAAGGGAGCTCAGGCCAGGCCTACGCGCACGTCCTGACCTTTCACTTGTCTCTCAAAGTCGTTGCACAGCCGGGTGATCTCCTCCTCTTGTTTCTGTTAGGGAGAAGCTACATGTTAGAGGCAGACAACCAAATCCAACCAAACTGAGTCAGCCGCATCCCAAGGGAGTCCCTCCTGCTCCCTGGGAAAGGCCCCCGCCGTGGCACCGATCCCACGTTGTCCATGCAAACGGTGGCTCGTAGGCTACCCAGCTGCGCTCAGGTCTCCCTGCTGCAGGAGGGGGGTTTCACAGGAGCTGCCCCAGGAAGCCCTTCTCCCCGTTCCTGCGCTGACTTTCTCGTGCCTTTAAGCACATCTGTTACCGGTGCCTGCGGGAAACCCCATCCCATCCCACGGAGAGAGACGGGGAGGCAGGCTCCTGGTTGCACGCCAGGGCTGTGAGGGCTCAGCCAGCGGCGGCCCCACCACCTCCCTCTGCGGCAGAGGCACCTGGCACGCGGCTCTGGCCCAGCCAGGGACGTACCAGGCGCATGTTTTTCACCACCGCCTCGTTGGCCAGCTCCTGCTCCTTCAGCTCCACTTTCAAGGAGCGCATGTCTTTATGCAGCTCCATCTCCTGGGCCCAGTGATCCTTCTGGGCCCGCTTCATGGACAGGGCGCCCTCCGCCTTCAGCTCGGTGAGGTTTTCCTGGTGCTCGTACAACAAGTGCTTCACCTTCTGCTTGTAAACCTAAAGACAAGCCACAGACTGGGTGGGGAGCTGCAGCAGCAGACCCCTGGAGCTGGGATATTGGCCGAGATGCTCCTGGCTTGCATCTTGCCCAGCTTCTCCTCCTCTTCCACCTTCCCTCTCCTCCTCAGAGCTGCCCAAGGCTCACCCAGAGTGAGGGGCACTCACAACACCTTCTCCCCTCCCACCTTGATCTCCACTTGATGCCGCTCCTCTGCCTCCTCCATCTCCCGGTCCTTGTTCCGCAGCTCTGCTCTCTTCTCCTCCAGCTGCCGGCGGGTGATCTCCCAGAAGGTGTGAATCTTGTCACGTTCCAGCTGGAAATAGTTGCGCTCTTCCCGTTCCCGGTCCAGCTCCTCCCGGAGACGCACAATGTGCTTCTCCAGCTGCAAAGCCAAGGGGAAGAGCCAGGCAGGGGGAAGACGAGGCCACGGACAGATG